CGCCCTATTCGTGATGTACATCGACATCTGGTTGCATGCAGGTATCTATGATGTATTTGTTTCTCAGGTATAGGTGTGTCGAAAGCAGACTACTCCTCGGTCATTATTTGCGATTACAGTGATCCTGCCCCTCAATCGGCTGTTTGGCCCAGGTTTGCGGAGCTTGGGGTCTCTAGGGGCTTGAAGCACCAGGGCTTCACGGTTGAGAGGACTTACTTATGGCGCTGATGCTCGGGTCAGCTCGTGTCAGTCAGGGTTTATTTTGTGGCCCGGTGGAGACCGTGGCGGAATCGGGCCCAGGCCTTACGTCCGGTCGGGTCAACACCCCAAGAACCGCAACAAGCTTCAAAGGCTCACAGGCCTGCTGCATACCGTAAGATACGACACGGCATTTCGAAGCCAAATGCCACCTGTTGAGAACTGTATACAGGTTCCAAGACCCAGGGCCTCGGTCTTCGCACGTCTGTCTTTGGCCGCAGCCAAGGACCTTGCCTGTGCAAATCATAGGAAGGACGCAGAGAATCTAGGCTGCGGTCTGTAGCTCACGATACTTCAAGCTGCTGACTTCTTCTTGACAGTCTCAAACCCTTTCTGCAACCCAACCCTACTCAAAAGGCTCAAGGTCTCCAGGTCGAACCTAACCACTAAAGCAAGCACAAGCCGGTCTCGTGCAATATTTCGACTAGCACGCTGGACCGACTTTGCGCCTTGGATGCTACGACGAACATATCCAGTACTGAACTACTGCCTATCACAGAACGACCACGTGAATCGAACAAGAGTCCTCCAGACGTACAGACAGGCTGAGTCATGCAATCTCGCGTTGCTGAGATCCGCCTGCATACTCTCGAAGAGCTGCTCATGCTTGGCGATGAGCTCCTGCTGTCTCGTCAGGCTCTGAGGGATCCACATCCACCCACACACACACACACACATGGGCTGGGAGGGTGCCAAATCGGCAAAATCGAGCTCTCCTTGTGAAGACTAATCAATTCTCGGTTCTGCTCCAGATCGCTCAAGAACGACTGATCCGCCGCAACTTTTCCGGTCAGCACCTGGGCATCCAGGGCCGGGCCGGGGTGTCTTGGAGTCCCTGGCAGCCCTTCGATTCAAGGTGCCCCTAAGCCACCAAGGAAAGGAGCTTCAGCTGTGAGGGTATGCAGAGCCCCAACCCGGGCGAAGGAAGGACGAGGAGCAGCGCAGCTGGCTGGCGTGGGGCATGGGATCATTCCTACGGCGACTAAACTTCAACACGTCCTAACCGCAAAGGGGCATAAGAGACCGCTTTGTTCGGGCTCGGGAGGCTGATGCTGATGGACTCTGGGTTCTACGAGAGTCTGCCATGTGCAGCGCTTCAGACATCAAGATTTCATCTTGATCCAAGACGGCCCTCAGCTTCAACGGCTGCTCTTTAAGTTTGTTGGTTCCTGTTGCTGCCCTCCTCTCTCCCTCCCTCTTTGTATGCATCTCCATGCCGTGATACTCAGCAGGCCGGACCTGCGGAGACTCCTTTTTGCTGTCCCGAGTCCGAGCCCTTTCTGTGGGGGTCAGGGGGGCTCTTGACCTCCATGCGCGGAGTCTTAAGCTGAGCTGAAGTTGTTCCAGAGTCTCAGCCCCATTCTGCTACCCAGGGAGACCGTTGCAGGGCCGTGCCCCCAACCGCCATGCCGGTCGGCTTGCCAAGAGGAGCTTCCTTGCAGAGTGAGGACAAAGAAAATTTGGAAGCACAGAGAGCCTCGAATCTAGAATCCCACATGGCCTGGAGGCGGATTGACTGTCTTGGTCCTTTCACTCCTGTGACGATCAAGTCTGTGCTATGGGATCGCAGTCGTCGGATGGCAGATACTTGGAACAGCATCGGCGTGCCGTGCCTCGGCAGTCGTTGTGGCCTCTGCGGTGGTCTTGCTTGTGGTAGCTTTGTTCCTTGGCTGTTGCGAAAAGCTGCAAGCCTCGAAGATATGAGGTTGTGCGGAAGCAAAACCGCATCTGACAAGCTTCGTGGTTGTCACTTCATCTTCGTCTTCGTCGGCCTCGTTGCCCGGCGCCTCGAAGCTTCGTCAATGTCCCATCCAAAAAGCTCCTATGTGAGAAAACGAAATCCAACACTCTGCGGCACGGGAAGCCCTGTCTTGACTTCTGCCCACGCTTGAAAGCCGTGGGGTTCAGTGCAGGAACAGGACATACACCCTCACCACAAAACGACTGCAATCTTGCAACGCGCTTTGTGGAGCTGCTTGCAGCGCCAGAGCAGGATGCGCACATCACTTCTCCCATGCAGGCAGGCCTTTGTCGTCGTTGCTGCGTCCCCGTCATCCTCAGATGCCTGCGATGTAGACTGTGTCGTTTGCATGGAAGGGCTGTGCTTGCACCATAGCTAACGAGCCCCAGGACTCTTGTAGGCCTTCGTCGTCGAGGTCGAGGTGGCCTTCTGCGTAGTCTCGTCTTCTTCTTCGTCCTCTTCTTCATCTTCCTCCTCTGCCTGGCCGATGCCAGTTCTGCTTTTCTGGCCGCGCCCTGCTTCACATGCTAAGCAGCATTAAGCAGCGCAAAGCCACTGGTTGCCCACAGCCTGAAACCAGAAGGACACTGAGCGGGACTCGCCAAACGTGCCTGAAACCTATCTCTACAACTCCTTCAAACCGCAAGCGAAATCATCCCCAAACATCCCAAAGTGCAAGAGGCAGCCTTGGTGGTACTGGCCGATTCTCGGCTCGTCGCATTCTTGGCAGGAGCCTTGATGCACAGAACATCTTGGCTTTGACTGCATGTTGCATGACCAAGATGTCCGAAGAAGCATCCTACCCCCCGTTCAAGACATCGGACACGACACGCACTCCTGCTGCCTCAACAAACTAGCAGCCCCAAGGCCCGAAGCCGCGCGGATCGTCGGGGCACGCGCCCACAAAAACCCAAGAAATGCCAGACCAGGCTTACACCTTCAATTCCAGGCTTTTCACTACCATGACGGCTCCATGGCCGACACCCTCAAGAACTGCAGATCTTCATTGTCCCTAGCCTTAGCCGACCATGGAAGGTCTGCCGGGCCCCGCAAAAGCTCCGAAATATTCCTAGACCCATCTGAAGCAGTCTCGATGCCGCGGTCGTGGTCGCCTCTTTGCCGGCGGTGGCCTTGCTGCAGGAGGGGTCGGCAAAACTCCCAAGAGTAAACTGAGGAGCCTTGCATCTCACAGCTTGCTGACAGCAATTCGGAAACCACCGTGCCCGTGAGTATTCACTTCTTCAGAGCGCAAGCTTGGCCAAGCTCTGGGACCGCAGCATTTGTGATCTTTTTCGGCGCACTAGCGGAGATGGCATCCTGCGCCCGAGCCGAGCGAGCAGTGCTGACGGTCACGTGTTGGCACGGGATAGGCCATGCGGCGCAACCTCAAGCCGTCGAACACTCGACCCACAAGTTTGACGACATAGTTGACTGAATGCGGCAACACCCAAAACTGCCATGTTGTCGTAGATACAGGCACCGCGATGATCATGTCAACCTTCAACCTTATGATCATCATCATCATCATCATCATCGGTTTCTTGGATTGTCCTCGCTGCTTCGAACTTCACCACCCCTCACCGTACAGAAAGCCAAGCCTTCGCGGCAGCGACTGCAGCCTCTCGAGCTGCACGAACGTCGGCGGCTTTGCCGCCAGCAGATTTGCAGCCCGCCACCGCTGCGTCCTGGAGATGTTCGCGAGCTAGGATCTCTGCATCCTTAGCATAAGCCTGTCGGTCCAAAGTCGGGACCCAGACCAGACTGACGTCCCTTACTTCGGATCGGGAAAGCTCAGATGGATCAGCACGATTTGAAAGACCGACGTCCGAGCACAAACACAGACCCATTCGAACGGCCTGGAGAAGGGGCAGTCCATCCCCGTATGCATGAGTTGCATCCCGTGCCACTCTCTTTCTCTTCCTCGCTCCCCTGCAGAAGCTTGGGTCTAATTGAAGCACCGCCGCGTTTTTCACTGTCGTTGTAGAGGCCCCAAACAGGGCTTTTTCAACTGTCTAGATCTCCTCCCTTCACGACCACGTCACCGAGATGAAGACCCAGCACCCGTCCATTGCTTGCACTGCCTGCACTGCGCATCCGAAGCATCTTCACTCTACATCCCACGTCCTCGGCTGCTTTGATCTGCCGATCACTGCTTTCTCCGGCTCTTGCCGAGGCATTTTGTGCTGCACGGCCGGCAAAAGCAGCCACCTTCATAGCAGAGTGGCATACAATAAACTCGAACAGTTTTCTACATGTTCTAGGATTCTACATACATACCCAACTACATACATATATTCATGTATACCTTCATGCATCTGTGCATCTATCCATACATCCATACATCCCTCCATCCCCGCACCCCTGCATCACTCCATCCCTCCCTCCATCCCTCCATCCCTCCATCATCCTCCATCCCTCCATGCATCCATGCATCCATCCATGCATGTGAATGGATGCTCATTGATTTGCGAACTTATGTATGTACTTCTGTAGCTACTTATACGCATATCTGAAATTTTATGCATTGCCTGTTTCTATCTACATCTGCTCACGCATCTATTTGTGTGCTTGTTTGCTTGCTGGCTTGCTTGTTTGTTTGTGTGCTTGCTTGCATTGCTTTGCTTTGCTTTGCGTTGCTTTGCTTTGCTTTGCTTTGCGTTACCTTGCTTCCTTCCTTCCTTCCTTCCTTCCTTCCTTGCTTCTTTCCTTCCTTCCTTCCTTCCTTCCTTCCTTCCTTGCTTGCTTGCTTGCTTGCTCGCTTGTTTGGGTGCGTGCTTGTTTGTGTTTACTTATCTACGTTTATTCATTTGCCGATCTAAATATTTCATTTTCTATTCATGTGCTTCGTCGATATCGATTTGTCTGCTTATTTGTTCATGTCAATTTATAACTTGCTCTACCTCATGAGCAGGGTTTGGCGTCTTCTGGGGTTGTTTGTATCTTGCAACAAGAAAATTGTGCGGAAGGACAGACCTCCGCCAAAGCTTGAAAAGGATCGCGTCAAAGCAGGATCGGTGTCTGAAACAGCCGGTTTTAGGGCTTAGGGCTTTTAGGGACTGTATGTTAAAATCAAGGTTGCTGGCGCAAGAAGCTTGATTACGCACAAGAAGCTTCATTACCTCCCGTGAGCGGCCGAGGGGTTCGCGTCCCTACTCATACACGAATTTGCGGAGCAGACTCTAAGATTTAAGCCGCTTTCGTCTTTGGTTCTTCCCGATTCAAGGCTCAAGAGTGAGAGCTTCAACACACCTTCATGCAGCTGGTTCTCAAGAGCGTGTCGAGTCACAGCTTGGGTTTGGGGATCTCGGTTCGCCTAGCACGAACAAGAAGCGGTTGTGATACCAGCGGTTAGAGTTTCAGTCCAGTTGGGTCACAGGCCTCCAGGTCACGCTTATGCACATCAACACAATCGAGGCTAGGTGACGCTTTGAGACCATCGCCATGCTCTTGCTAAGACAGTGTCGCTACCATGTTGCCCAGGATGCTAGTGATGATGATGCTATGGCATGACACCTCCTCAACCGCAGCGCCGGCAGCCATCGCGGCCTCTGCTGCTGCTTTGCCTGGTACATTGAAATCCGTTCCGATTTGTCTTTAGGGCCTCGCTGAAGGTGCGGGATTTGGCTGCTTCGCGCAAGGCTTCGGGACAGGCGCTGGACCATTCAGAAGCCAAGGCGTTTTCAAGCCTTGAAAAACCCATGCTTGGTTCTACAACAATCAGGTCGCATGAATTGTAGAGTGCTAGAGGCAGGCGCTTGCATCTGCGGGCGCTACAGCATCCAACACCTCCAAAGTCATCTCTAGATCAAATTCCCTGCAGCGGCAGTCCACAAGACCCTGCTCAGCCCGGCTGCCGGCAATGGCCGCTTGCTGGACGGTGCTGGCATTCAGGTCCTGGCACACCATGCTTCATGACTGTTGCCACTAGGGCTTTAGATGGCCGCCGTCTGTTGCGGTCTCGGCTCTCGATGCATTCGCCTATGGGAGAGCTTGCGTCTGCCTTAACCGCCCTAACCTGGACCCACAGGTCGCTTGATATCTGTCTCGGGGTGGGATTCAAATCTCTGAGAAAGCGATTGCGGATCCTTGGCAGCGCCCGCGGCCGCCATTCCTGCGCTGGCGGCCTGCTCAGAAAAGAGGGAGGGGATTTGGGGCCTCTGCGCGGTAGGACCCCGTCTTTTTCCCGAGCCTGCTGCTTTGCGGAGCCTCCAGCCGACTTCGAGACCAAGCGAGCGGCCTCAAAAAGGCTTCCAGAATCATTCGGGCACTTCTGGCTTCCGACAGTCTGACGAGCCTCTGCGATAACCTCGACCTTCAAGTCAGATTGTTTCTCCTCGTTGGCACCTGCCGCCTCGGCCGCAACCGCAGCCGCTTTGCCGGCCGCTCGCAGCTTGTCCTGCTTCGCATCTGCATGTTCGCGTTGCCTAGTTTTGCAATCTACCTGAGTCTGAAGGGCCTTTCAACCTTTCTGCCAATGCGTGAATCCTGTAACCTGGCAGTCTCCTTGTAGTTGAGGCCAGCAGCAGCGGAGGCATTCAGCGCCGCTGTGCCCGCGACCACGGCCTGCTCATCCACAGACATGCCGGCATCCCTCGCCACTTCTGCTGCAGCTTTGCCAGCTGCGGCCGCCTGTTGCTCTGGGATCTGATTGGCCTCCTTGGCCGCTTCGGCCGCTGCCTGGCCGGCACTTGCTGCTTGCTCAGCGGTTTGAGCGCCTGTGGCTTTGGCTGCATCTGCTGCTGCCTCGGCTGCTGCCTCGATCTGCTCCGCCACCGTCTCCTTGGCCTCCTTAGCCTCTTTGGCGGCCACTTCCCCGGCGTCCACACCAACCTCCACGGAAGTTGCACCATTGGATTTTGCAGCCATGGCCGAGGCGTTCCCTGCAGCTTCGGCTTGCTCCTCAGCGGACATGTTCGCCAGCTTTGCGGCTGAAGCTGCCGCCTCGCCTGCCAACTCCGATTGCTTCTCGGAGCCCTCACTCTGGGCCTGGGCCGCTGCTGCCGCGGCCTGGCCTGCTGCTGCCGCTTGCTCGTAGGCGGCCGCCCCTGCGGACTTCGCAGTTTCTGCTGCAGATTGTCCGGCGTCTGAGGCCTGTTGTTCCACCGCCTGGCCCTGATCGCTTGACACTTTGGCAGTTGCCGCCCCTGCCACTGCAGCCTGCTTGGCCACGGAGGCCCCATTGGCCTTGGCAACCGCTGCTGCGGCCTTGGCAGCCTCCTCGCCCTGTTCGCGGGGAGTGTATTGCAGCTCACTGGCAGCACTTGCCGCAGCACGTGCAGCAGCAGCAGCCTGCTCCTCCATGGGTTTGTCCAAGGCGCTCGCTTCTGCGGCAGCTTCTTTGCCAGCATCCTCCGGAGTAATTCTTGACACCGTAGTTGTGCTCTCCGTAGTCAAGCTTGTGGTGGACATCTGTGTCGTCGACGGCTTCTGTGTCGAGGTGGTGGGGCTAACAGCGGCCATGGCCGCAGCCTTAGCTGATTCCTGCTGCTCCGCGGTCAAATTAGCTGCTTTGGCAGCTTCCTCCGCAGCTTTGCCAGCTGACAAGATCTGCTTGTCTGACGTCATCCCAGCAAGACCTGCTGCTTTGAAGGCTGACTTTCCCGCCAGAACTGCCTGCTTAGCTCCTGACATTCCGGCAGCCCCGGCGGCATCCGCAGCAGCCTTGCCTGCAGCTGCGGCTTGCAGCTCCGGGATCTGCGTTCTGGCGGCTTCTGCGGCAGCTTCGCCAGCACTGACAGCTTGCTCGTAGGCCGATCCGCCTGCTAACTTGGCTGCCTCTGCAGCTGCCTGTGATGCTGCCTGGATCTGCTCACCAACGCCTTTGCCCGACTCTGCAGCTTCTTTGGCTGCCACCTCGCCGGCGTCTACCCCAACATCCGTGGGAGACGCGCCCTCTGCTTTGAGGGCCCTGGCTGACGCATTTCCTGCAGCAGCTGTCTGTTCTTCTGAAGTCATTCCCAAGGTCTGCGCGATATCTGCAGCGGCGTCCCCTGCCAGTTCTGCTTGCTTGTCAGACCCTTCGTTGTTCATGCGTGCCACTGCTGCAGCGGCCTCTCCAGCAGCCGCGGCTTGGCCAGAGGCCGAGGCGCCGTTGGACTTCGCGGCGGATGCCCCAGCTTGGCCAGCGGCTGCAGCCTGCTGCTCCAAGCTTTGCCCATCCAAAGCAGCGACTTTCGATGCAGCGATGCCGGCAGCTTCTGCTTGCTTGGACATGGACGCACCCGCAATTTTCGCTGCTGCGGCCGCTGCCTGACCAGCTAGTTCCACTTGCTCGGCCGGAGTATACTGCTGATCCTTCGCAAACGTCGCGGCAGCCTCCCCTGCCTTTGCCGCCTGCTCCTGCATGGGTTTGCCGGCAGCCTGGGCCTGCTCCGCGGCCTCCTTGCCAGCATCCAACGGATCTCGTTCTTTCTCTGGCGGAGATTTTTGGGCTGGACTTGCTGCTTTTGTGACTGCAGATGGCGCCTTTGTGGTCGTCTGAGCAGACGCCGTCGGATTTGCTGCAGCCCTCGCCGCACTCTTGGCGGCGGCTTGTTCCTCTGCTGTCATGCCAGCTGCTTTGGCAGCTTCCTCTGCAGCTGTTCCAGCCGCCCAAATCTGCTTCTCCAACTTCAAACCAGCTACTGCGGACACGTTGAAGGCCAACTCTCCCGCCAGCTTTGCCTGCTCAGCGCCTGATATCCCTGCAGCCCTGGCGGCATCCGCAGTGGCCTTGCCTGCAGCTGCGGCTTGCAGCTCCGGGATCTGCGTTCTGGCGGCTTCTGCGGCAGCTAGGCCCGCACTGGCAGCTTGCTCGTAAGCCGATCCGCCTGCCAACTTGGCTGCCTCTGCAGCTGCGAGTGATGCTGCCTGGATCTGCTCACCAACACCCTCGCCGGACTCTGCAGCTTCTTTGGCTGCCACCTCGCCGGCGTCCAACCCGACGTCGGTGGGAGACGCGCCCTCTGCTTTTGCCGCCAGGGCCGATGCCCTGCCAGCTGCAGCAGTTTGCTCCTCGGGAGTCATGCCAGCCAACCTGCCCGCATCTGCTGCTGCCTGGCCAGCCAGAGCAGCTTGCTTCTCGGTGCCTTCGTTTTGGCTTCGAGCGACTGCCGCAGCAGCCTGTCCTGCAGCCGCGGCTTGGGCAGCATCTGAGCCGCGAGCTTTTTTGACGACTTCTGCTGCGGCCTGGCCCGCAAAAGAAGCCTGTTGCTCCAGGCTTTGGCCATCGCCACTTCCAACTTTGGCACTCTCGATGCCTGCTGCGGCAGCTTGCTCCTCCGTGCTCCCACCGCTGCTCGCCACGGCCGCCGCGGCCACGGCACCAGCGACTTCAAGTTGCTGCTGCAAAGTGTATTGCCGCTCCCTGGCGAAGTCCACAGCGGCCTTTGCCGCAGCTGCAGCCTGCTCGTCGACAGGCAAGCCTGTGGCTCTTGCCTCTGATGCTGCTTGGCTTCCAACGAGTTCAGGAGTCAAAACCGTAGTTGTGACGGTGGTAGTTGTCACGGTGGTTGTTGTTGAGGTGCTTGTCTTTGTCTCTGTGGTGGTCGGCGGCACGGTAGTCGTGGATTCCGTGGTTGATGCAGTTGTCGTTGTCGTCGATGCTTTGCTTGACGTGGTGCGTCTTGTCGTCGTGATGGGTAATGTTGCTGTCGTCTCGGGAGTTGTGCTTTTCGTGGTGGTGGTGGTTGTGGGAGGTGCCTTCGTAGTCTCTGGAGCTTCCGTTGTTGTCGGCTCAGGCTTGGGAGTTGTCTTCGGCAGTGTCGAAGTTGTTTCTGGAGGGCGTGGTGTGGTCGTTTCAGACTCCGTCGTTGAAGTGGTCGACCATCCGTCGACCTTCCTCCAGCTCGGCAGCCCATCCAGCGGCGGAGCGGCTTGGCGACCACCCATGGAACTGCACAGAAATGGGCCAACCATTACTCCCCGGTCTTGTGGGGCTTCGAAGCCCACCAGACTCACGAGCACGTTCCTTACTGGCATCATCTGGCCCTCCTACCAAAAAGCAATTTGAACAAACCTTTCCTTGACGGCCGTTTGATCAGACGTCTGCACTTCCAGCATCCAGCCACCGCCGCTGTGACATCTACACGCGCCATCCCGTCGACGTTCCACAAGCCAACAGAACTATCAGAACAGCAACAAGACATTGCCGACAAGCTGCCATGGACCCGAGTAAGCCTTTCCGAAGACTTTGAACGATGCCGGATCCCGCTCCTTCGCACAAGCATGTCGCGACTGGAGCTTGCATGCTCGCGATTCCTTTCCGAGTCGAGGAAAAAGAAATTCATTTCCTTTTTGCACTCTTGCCGAGTTTCCGGGGCCGCATTCGAGGTTACAAAGCCGGCGCTGCCGACGACTACCTGACCGAGGGTCAAGGACAGCCCTTGAACTCAAGCCCAGTGTTACGTGTCACCCTCACAGGTCCACGAAAGAAGTACAGTGCACCGATAGTCACGGAGAATCCAGTTGCCGGAAGGCTCCGGCCTTCCAAGAATCCTGAACTTCCTCACTGTTTCTGAGCCCCCATTCCAAGATCGCAAGACTGAGCGGTTCTTGACGGGATCAATTCAACCAAGCGGCCCCATACTGAACGCGCAGCTCTAACCTTCTTGCTGCATCTCGCAAGATCGATTCTGTAGCGATAGCCAGATATGGATGCGTGACTTGTGTACAAATATTTAGCCGGTTACAGGTGAATAAAGAAACAGGCGGAAAGGTACATAGACGGATACACTAGATAGCGGGGGTTGATAGATAGATAGGTAAATGGTAGATAGGTAGATAGATGGATAGATGGATAGATGGATAAATGGATAGATGGATAGATGGATAGATGGATAGATGGATAGATGGATAGATGGATAGATGGATGGATAGATAGATGGATAGATGGATGGACAGATAGATAGGTAGATTGCTAGATAGACTAGGTCGATTGATAGATTGATCTCTCGGCTAGAGCGAACGAGAGCGAGAGAGAGAGAGAGAGAAACAAAAAACAAACAAAAAGAAAAAAGATAGAGCGAGACATACAGACAGAAAGACAGACAGACAGACAGACAGACAGACAGACAGACAGACAGACAGACAGACAAACAGACAGGCAGACAGACAGACAAACCGACAGACAGACCGACAGACAGACTGACAGAC